TAGCAATTTTAAATGTTTTAATACATTTCATAACATAAAATTCCGAGCAACAATTGCATTGCTTTCAGGTGAAATGAGGTGCCCAGGGTTTGTCTTGATCCATGACAGGCATGCCAAAATATTCCTTGTAGGCCTCACACATCTTAGCAGATGCTTCCACAGAGTACTTTTTCGCTCTTCTCTTGATAAATTGGCTGCAGACAAAGCAAAAGGCATCTTCCGGATTCTAGCAGCCTCTTGATGCCATATCAGAAAAATACAGATATGTATCCACTTAGGCAGCTGGAACCAAACTGAACTGGTGGGCTTAAGGCCTCTGTATTTATACTTCTTCTTGTTCGTCCATCAAAGTTGATGATGACCATGGCACGTTTGTCATTTTGTTGGGTTTTGATGAGTGCGCAGATGGCTGAAGAGGCCAATCCGAGCCCGGAATTCTCTGTGGCACACTGGACAGGTCAGGGAGGATGTAGAGCTCTGAGGTGCAGCCACACGTCCTTTCTTGGTAGATTTGCGCTGCTGCCTCTTCAAGATAGCACAGGAGCTTCTCCTACTCTCACAGAGGACTGCACCGTCCTGTACTTTTCTTCTCCAGGCAGGTTGGTCCTGTGCTAGGGATTCCCAGCTTTTCATGTCGAATCCAAAGCTCTTCATGGAAGCTTTAAGGGTGTCCTTGTAGCGCTTTTTGGGGCCACCTTGTGCTCGCTTGCCATTCTTCAGCTCGCCAAAGAAGACTTGTTTTGGAAGTCTCGCGTAGGGCATTCTGGTCACGTGGCCAGTCCATCTAAGCTGTTCCTTCGCAAGCAAGGTGTAGATGCTGGGGATATTTGCCTTGCTGAGGACTTCCGTGTCAGGGATTCTGTCTTGCCACTTGATCCTCAGCAGTTTCCTCAAACAGCTCAAGTGGAGATGATTCAATTTCTTGGCATGGCGCTGGTAAACTGTCCAGGCTTCGCACCCATACAGAAGAGTTGGTAAGACAACAGCCCGGTAGGCCCTCAGTTTTGTCTCCTGCTTGATGCCACTCCTTTCCCATACCGAGTCACGTAGACGTCCAAAGGCTGCACTGGCCTTGACAATCCTGATGTTAACTTCATCATCTATGTGCACAGCGCGAGACAGTGTACTACCAAGGTAAATAAACTTGTCAACGGCTGAAAGCTTTTGCCCATTCACAAAGATGGTTGGCTCAGTGTAGGGTTTCCCAGGAGCAGGTTGGTATAGGACTTCAGTCTTCTTTGTGCTGATTGTTAGGCCGAAGTTGTTGCAAGCTGAGGAGAGGTGGTCCATACTGTCCTGTAGATCTTTATTTGAGCCAGCAGCCAAAGCACAGTCATCAGCAAACAAAAGTTCTCGAACAGTGACTTCCTCCACTCTAGTTTTGGCTTGCATCCTCCGCAGATTGAATAGCCCACCGTCAAAAAGGTAGATGAAGTTAATCCCAGTGTTGTGATTCTGGAATGAGTCTTGCAGCATGGCAGAAAAACACCATGCTGAAGAGTGTTGGCGCTAAAACGCAGCCTTGCTTCACCCCGTTTATATATATTACTGGAAAGTTCTAGAATGTTCTAGAAGTTATTCCAAATTTTTACTTAAAACTTTCGTGACTGTAGGAATTAATATTCTTTGGTTCAAAGTAATATATATAAACTAAATTTTACATCTGTCTGTTCGTGTGTGTACACACGCTTGCGAGGGATTTGGCTCTCAAACGGTGGTGTTAACGTGTAAAATAATTTCCAGGTACCACGCCGTAAGCCCCGCGGTTGGCAAGCGCTATTCCTTTTTCACGTCCGTCACCTTTAAATTAGTTTCGTGCGATTTGTATTTATTTAATAATTTTTCACGGCGCGCTCGGCCATACCAACTCACGCACTTTCGGTGGGGGGGACGGACCATGCCAAGTCACACGCGTTCAGTGGGGGTGAGGGAGAAATTGACTTTTGCCTTAGGGGCCGTTCATAAATGACGTCACGCGATTTTGGACGATTTTTGACCACCCCCCTCGTCACACAGCGACACAAAAAATCA